CAGAGAGATATCTCTAAGAGATGTAGAGGTGTGTAAAAAGTGTCTCTCATGTGTAGATGACTTACAATTTATATATACAGAACCTTGGTTGAAGCGGTGATGTGATGTGATAGATAACTAATCCTTCGGAGAGAATAGCTATAACTAAGGATATGTACAATTAAAGATGGTCTCGATCTTCAAGTGGCGGTCACCCCGACAATTACTCCCCACCTGGACTTCTTGAACTTTGGATTGGACTTGACCTGCTTTGTAGGTGATTTGAGCTTACTTAATTAATTAGGCCTGACCTAATTGAATCTGGGCTCATCAAGTATTACAATCTAATTAATCTATTTAAAAATATAATAAACCTAAAATATAATTAGATACACAAATATTTTAAAAATAACAATCTTATAGTAAAGCTCCATTATAAAACAAAAGAAGAAAAATTGAAAAGGGTGAAAAAATATCTAACAAAATGATAAATTAAATATTCAAGGAGAGGTATAATAAATTAATAATAAAGTTTAATAATTAAGATAAAAATTAATTATTTAATTTAATTATAAATAAAATTTAAGATTTTTATACAAATTTATTATGTAAATATATTCGAGTTCTTAAATTACCAGTTGCTAGAAATAGCCCTCCTCATATAATTGACTGTAGGACCTTTTTCCGTTCCTCCTAACCATACCAGGGTTAAAAATGAAAATGAGGGGTGGGGTTCAACTAGGGCAATATAAAATGAAGGTATGAGACACCGAATTGCCCAAATCTCATTAGTTTAAGAATGAGGCAAGCACAGAGAGGAGGGAGTTTCTAAGGGTGGTTGCCCCTCTCTGTCACACCGCCGATGATTTCACAATGAACTCAATAATCAACAGCCCTTTTTCCGTCTTTCATACACACACACAAACATATATGCTCTCTCTCTCTTTCTCTCTCTTCAACTTCATGTATGAGGCTGTGATGATGATGTTTTCAAAGAAAAATCAGGCTTTGAGCTGAAACGTATCTTGGCAGGGCGACTCAGAGGGTCTATGAGAGGAGATAGAGAAATGGGTTTTGCTCCTTTTTTCTTTCTTCTTTCACATGGCATCTGTTTTTGCAGCCATGGCGGTTTAGCCTCTTTTCTGACAGAAGGCGAATCTGAGCCCCC